ACTTATTTCACAAAAAAAAACAAAGAAAAAAAAATGAAATGTGGAACTTATTTCACAAAAAAAAAAACAAAGAAAAAAAAATGAAATATGGAGATTTATTTCGCCAATAAAAAATTAAAAAATATGTTGACCTAATTTAAATTAAATGTATGCAGATAGAAATTGGGTAATTTTTTTAAAGTATTTTATTTATATTTTTTAATTTAAATAGCTCACCTTTCTACGTGTTAACCTTAGTTATAACAATATTAGTTTATGTAGAATAGTAATAATAACTTTATTTTTTTTTAATAATAAAAATTATGTTTATCACATACATTTTTATGAAAAAAAATTGTAGAGGAGTGCAATTAATGTCACAACTCGTGTATCACAAATATTTTTGTAAGTTTAATGAATTTAATTTTAATTATTTTAAGAAAAATTATATATTATATTTTTTAGTCATACACATCATATGTTGGCATTGTTTCTAGAGTTACCTATCCCTATTGTGTAATGATTGTTATTAGTGATGATGACGGTGATAGTGAACACATTTTATCTACTACTAATGTTATATTTATTGAAGTATTTTTACATGTAATAATCAAATTTATATTCAACCATTTATTATCTCTATACATTTTTATTTTTTATTTTTTTTTATTTAACTTATAAATCATTCATATTATTTCTAGCACCATGCCTTTTTTGAATATTTTTTTATTTAGCCATTCTCGAACCTCATCCGGCGGCACATCGAAAGATTGGAATCCACCTGAGCTCCTTGTAGCCATTCTCGCCATGCAATCCGCAACAAAGTTGGACTCTCGGAATCCATGGCATACCTTCACCAACCATTGCCTCTTCAACAAATCCTTAATATCCAAGATTAAAGCACTATATATCCCATGCTCAACATTGACACTTTGAATCATCGAAAAAGCACCATGTATTCCTATTTTTGTTATATCATGCTTTTGCTTGCCGGTCAGTATTTGCAAAGAGGTGGCCCAACTCAGTGCTAGATTTTGGTGGTCAGGAGGTGCAGATCAGAGAAAAGGCATTCACTATGTGGCTTGGGATAAAGTCACTGTGCCTAAGAGCTCTGGGGGTTTAGGCTTCAAAGATATTAGAATTTTTAATGACTCTTTGATACTTAAACAGGTGTGGAAACTTCTGACTAAACCAAATGATCTGATGACAAGGATCTTGAAAGAAAAATATTTTCCTAACAGTTGTGTGTTGGATGCAAAGAGCAGTGGATCAGCATCTTGGCTCTGGAACTCTTGGGTTAGAGTGATGAACATTTATAAGCAGGAAATCAGGATGGAGGTGAGAGATGGTCACAACACCAATATATTATCTCATCCTTGGGTTCCTGGTTTAGTTTCAGGGAAACCTACTCTAAGAGCAGAAGTTTCTGATTTACAGCTGACTTGGGTGAAGGATCTATTAGCAGAGAATGGGAGATATTGGAACAGAGAATTGCTCTACTCTTTGTTTACCCCTGAATCATGTCAGGCTACCTGCAACTGAAACATCTGAAGCCAGAAGAAAAGGACAGATGGGTGTGGAACTCAGATGCAAAAGGAATATTCTCAGTGGCCTCGGCATACTCTGCAGCTATACTGAAGAAAGTCCTTCATTTGGACTGGCCTGGAAGCAGCTCTTCAGCTAGAAAAGATAAAAATGCAAGAATGCGCTGCTGGAACTTGAAAGTTAAGGAAAACTCAAGCACTTCATCTGGCGTTGTTCTCTGATTGCCTACCAGTGAATGTGAACTTGTGTAGAAGAGGCATGCAGTTGGATCAAACCTGTCAATGCTGTGGAGAAAATGTCGAGCATGTGTTGTTTTTGTGTCCCAGAGCTGCCAAAGTTTTGAAGTTGGCGCCTATCTCTTGGGATTCTTCAGCTGCACCTATGGCAAATTTCAAACAATGGTGGTGGAGTATTGTAGAGCTGAATCATTCCCACATTTCCGAAGCCCGAATACAACTCTCGACATAAATTTTATGGTGGCTTTGGAAGTCGCGCAATCTTTGGGTTTTTCAAAAGGCTTGGATGCCCGAGCAGGTGATAGTAAGAAATGCTTGGAATGAATTGTCTGAGTATTGTGCGATTAATGTTTAAATGTTGTGTTTCTTTAGTTGTGCTAGTACGGGTGACTAGGTTCTTATGTTCAATGGTCACCTTTTAAATTTCACAGTTGGTTTTTGTGTTCTTTTCGGTTGTACTAAAGGGCTCAAATCGGTGTATTTGCCTTTAGTAGGTTGTTATGTGTATGTGTTTGTAGGCCACCGGAGAGGTGTTGTTCTCCTGTATTTTGTAGTATCTTGTATGAGCTAGTGAGCTCTTCGGTTTATTATTATATGAGAAGTTATCATCGTTTCAAAAAAAAAAAAAATGAAAAAGCACATAAGCATTCCACTTCTGCAATGAAAGAAAGGTTGTTGGAATGTGTACCAAAAATCTTTCATAGTTTGGAACGTGTCAATAGCCTTACATATAATTAATAATATCACATTTGATACAAAATTGTAATAAATTTTATTTTATGATGCATATACTAACATCTCATTCAAAGTTTGAATATGCTTTCGTGAACGTCCCCATCGGGCAACTCTTGCCTTTGACTCTTGCCTTTGTACCTTTTTCGATCAATAGTATGTAACTGCTCCCAGAGCAAAAAAGTTTTTGAACCAACAAGCCAAGGAAAACCATACATGCTGAGATAAACAAGATATGCACATAATGACATGTCAACATAGTATCTCAAACCATGAAAAATATGTCTGGGAACTAAAGGAGAAAACCATCATGGATATAACATCTCAAATTTAGCAATGATAATCACCAAATGATCCAATGTTAGCAAATAGTTGGAATCCAAGTGCAGTTGTTATAGTAGAAAAATGCAAAGGTAGACACAGTTAAAACCATGAGTTAGAATAAGACTGATAAAGAAGAAAAAACAAAGAGGCTGCATCCTGAGATACATACATCTACCAAGCAGAGCAGAGGAAATATGGCACTTCTAAGTTATAAAGATTATCTTTCACGGCGTACCATAACGAGAAACAATAAATATAAAAAAGCCTCAATCTGGAAAAATTAGCCAGCAACTTCAAAAATTAAGATAGACATGATTCCCTTAGATGACGTGCATCCAGAAATTAGCACTTGAAGCTCGGTCTCTACATCCTCTGAAGTTCCTGAAAAGGGATACAAACAATATTACATGGGTTTTCCCTTGTACTTGATTTCGCCAAAAAAGCTCAAGAAATTTTCAAACTAGGAGATCTTTTTTCACAATTTCCAATACCAATATATCTGCAAAATGTAAGAACGTAAACCTATCTTTCATAACCAGCCGGCACAAAAACTAGAAAAGCCCCAGGACCAAATCAAGAATGTCAAGAAAACTTGTAAGTTTACTTTTGTGACCATTAAACAATAGGTGTATGCACATCAACCCAATGAATTTAGCTCATAACAGTTCAGTTCATGTATCTGCTAACTCAACAATGCTAATACTCTTAAGCAAGTTCGCACAATTGCTAACTCAAACCATAAATGTACTCCTTAAGCAAGTTTGCACATGAAAGATACAATACTGTACTGTATCAACAATTATGGAATGAGTGGGAACTGGATTAATAAGTAATAACACAACCAGATTAAGCAGAGTCTTAGCGAACAATAAACAAAACTGATCCTCAAACTCAAGCTTGATATATATTTACAGCTATTTAAGGATAGAGGGAAAAGATAATATTTACCAAGATGAACCAACTCAAGACACTCCATCATCAGCTCTCGAACGGTCCTCCTTTCTCACCCACATCATACCATTCATCTCTCTGTCTTTTCTCTCATTTCCCTCAAATCTCCCAAACCTCCCATATCTCCTAACACTACCAGCTTTCTCATTCCAGTTATTAGAACGTAAACCACTCATAAACTCTCTCCCATTGTTCCACCTCCGATTCCCATATCTCCTGTTATACCCTATTCCGAATCCTCCTCTTTTTTCATCAACTTTTAAATTTTCCATGGCAATAACCAACCCTTCCGCCTTTTCATCACTTTTTAACCCTTCATCTTCAACTCCATGATCACTAACATGCTCGTCTTTAACCTTGCCACCATTGAGACTGCCTGTTTCACTGCAAAACTCCAAATTATCATCCCGAACCTGATTTTCTGAATCTTTTTCCACTGCATTTCCTTTTGAAACATCAGCTCCATCCTCCTTAAACCTGTAATTGTGATTCCTCCTATTTTCCCAATTCCTACTGTAACCCTTTTTCAGACTGCCTTCAGCTCCCTCCCCCAGCTTATTTAACCTAACTCCATTCTCTCTTCTAGCAATGTCACCTGTGCCCAGATTTTTATAGTTTCTCGAGAGCCTACCTCTAAAGTCGTTTCTATTTATCCTGTTTTCCGCACTCAAAACCTCCTTAACTCCGCCGCTGTTGACATCATTATCAGTCTCAATCTCTAGCTTTTCCTTCTCAACCTCATTTCCCTTTTCCAATTTCTCTATTCTGCCATATCTATTTTTCTTCTTCTTATGATGCGTCTTATTTTCGAAACCACCTATGGGCGTCTCCTTCCCCTTTCCTCTGTCTGCAATCGCTCGGGCCCCATCTCGGCCGCCGGTTTTCGCCCCTCGTCTGCCGCTCGCCCCTTTTTCATCCCAACCACTCTTCAACTTATGATCCTCGCTCGGTTCCGCCTCCGGCGGTTTCTTTCTCATCTCTTCTTGCTTCTGTTTCTCTCTCATCTCCTTATCCCGTTGCTTTTGGAGCCATCGCTCTTGGAGTTGCGCTAACGAGACGTAGTCAGGTGGTAGCCATGGATGCTGCTGCTCTTTCCTCTCCCCCTTTTGATCCATAACCACTCGCGGATTTCCACAAATCAAAAACGAATTTTTTTGGAAAAGGAGAGGAAAATAATAAAAAATAGACAAAAAGAAACCCTTGCAATATCTCGAGTTAGCTGAAAAATTGATGCGTGTACGAGATTGAAAGCAATGGGCTGGGGGCATATATAGGCTTGGATAAAATTAGCTAATAAATTAATTGATAATAAGTTAATTTATAATTTATAAGTAATTTTTGACGTTATAACTTATATTTGAAAAGCTAATTAATGATAAGTGTTTAATTAATTGATAAATTAATTAAATTTTTTTTAAAAAATTACTTAAAGAAACTTATGAAATAAAAAAAGCTCGTTCAACAAACGAACTTCTTATAAGGTAACTAAATTATCTTATTTGTCTAGCATAGTACATTCATTGAACTGTATTATCTCAATTTATTTATTTTTCATGCTAATTTTATTTGTTTTCTTATGAAAATTGTTTGTTTATTCATTTCTCCTTTTCATTCTTTCTTGTCCCAGAGGTTTATGCCCTTACCGAGCTACAGAACGAGGGTTTCTTCTCCAATTCAAGGCTTCCAGCTTCATCATCAATTAACTGATGCTAAATACCCTTTGTTTTCGTTAGACTAAGTAAAAAGGTAATTAAATTTTTCTCAAAGGTAATCAGACAGAAAAATGGTTTTTGGTCAGGTGGTTATAGGACCACCGGGCTCCGGCAAGACCACCTACTGCAATGGAATGTCTCAATTTCTCCAGCTCGTTGGCCGGTATACACTCTCAACCTTATTATTACCCATTCAATCTCTATCTTTGTATTTATGAAAACATATGTATGCTTACATGTATCGACTGGTAGGATAATATAATTTATGTTGATTTATGTGTTTTCTGATTATGAGTTTCTTATGAATTTCTTGTTATGTCAAAGCTAAAAAAATGCCCTTGCTATGTCTCCTTGTTAAGATTTAGGCTTAATTCAGTTTGTGGTTTTTCCTCCCTTTTCCTTTTAAGTTCTTATGACACAAAATCTTTGATTTTGAATGGATTGCAGGAAGGTTGCAGTGATTAATTTGGATCCAGCAAATGATTCTTTGCCGTATCCATTTCAGTTTGTTCTGTTCTTTGCTTTTGATAGTGTATTGTCGTGCCAGTGGTTTAATGTGTATTCGTGCCCAGCAGTTCATTTTTTGTTTTTTGGGGGCTTTTAGATGAGTTATTTCCTTATAATGATAAAGATATGATTGTGCTATAAACATCGAGGATTTAATTAAGCTCTCTGACGTTATGGGCGAACATTCCCTTGGTCCTAATGGAGGTATGACCAATATGTTAATGATAAATACAAAATAAGTCCTCACAGTTGATATTATTTGCCTTTTATTGCACTTCTTTGTTGTTGTTGTTCTTATTTTCCTAGAGAAACATATAATGTGTCTGCATCTATACATATGTGTTGGTTTTGCGTAAACATAATAGATGGATCAGTTCCTGGTGCTTATTCCAGTTACTAAAAAGATGGAGGAAGTTTTCAAAACTGGAGGCAACAGATAATATTATTCTTCCATTCTGAAGTCTTCAAATGGATTTCTAGATACAATTAATATGGATTGAAATTTTATGACATTTCTGTTGGTAGTTCAATTTTTTTAAGCCATGCCTGATGGCAGAACTCCTTGATATATGAAAAACATTGTATGATGTCTTGCAGGTCTCATTTATTGTATGGACTATTTGGAGAAAAACATCGATTGGTTAGAATCCAAACTAAAACCCCTACTCAAAGGTTCCTACTGTTTTTTCCATGTAACTTTCTAATGCTTGCTTTATCTTTATACTCTATTTGTTGTCTACGGATTCTACTTAATACACTGTTAAGTCTTTTTGGCTATTGTGAGTTATGTCCTTGATATTTCAAAATAGAATTAGGTATTTGCAGGCTCCTTAGTGTTTTTAACCTTGTTATGCTACTAGTTATTCTTCGCTCAGAAAAGTCAAAGCATCAAATAGTTGAGTGTTAGTAAATAAGATTTGGTTTTGATTCCGGTGCGCTTTAAAAGTTCTCCGCCTTGTTGCATTTAAATAGATTCGTTTCACATAAAATTTATCAATAAAATCATGTCTGCATGACATAATAATTAAGAATTGATTACCGCCTGTCATAATGTCCATCAACAGTAATGTTGTGGTCGCTTGATCACCTCACATGGTTGTTGCAGTTTTTTTATTTTTGTTTCTTATCTAAAACCCAATTTAGTTTAGTTTGTAGTTTGTTGCACTTTGAGTAGACATTGTCAATCATAGCTTCAAATTAACATAACTTTGCAGATCACTACCTCCTTTTTGATTTCCCTGGACAAGTGGAGCTCTTTTTCCTTCATGAAAATGCAAAGAGAGTTATCATGAAACTCATAAAGAAGTTAAATCTCAGGGTATGTGTGTTTTTAATCTCACCAGCTATCTCCTTATCATGGAATTCTTTTCGAATTGGTTCCTAGGATCCAATTTTAATGTTAGATACTTGTTTTGGAAATTACGGGGTCTGAACTGATGAGAGTGCTGTTGGCACTGATCATACCTGGACACATGGCATAACCTTGACTTCTCTCTCTCTTTTTTTTTTTTTTTTTTTTTTTTNTATCATTTTTATTCATTTTTGCAGTTGACTGCTGTGCATTTAGTTGATGCACATCTTTGTAGTGATCCTGGGAAATATGTAAGTGCGTTGCTCCTTTCCTTGTCAACCATGGTGCACTTGGAGCTCCCTCATGTCAATGTTTTGTCTAAGATTGATCTGATTGAAAGCTATGGCAAACTAGGTGAATACAAATATACAATTTTATATTGATATTACTAGCAAATTTTAGATTCTTCTCTGGTGGTGCCTACCACAAGTTTTGACGTTATAGAAGTTCTTAATCTTTGTCTGTTTTTTGCAGCTTTCAACCTTGACTTCTACACAGATGTACTTGATTTATCATATTTACAACATCATCTTGATCAAGATCCTCGATATGCCAAGTATAGGTATGAAACATCTGGGTGTTATATTTACATGTATATATCGTGTACAGTTAGCACTTGGTGTCATCATAATATTGGCAACCTTATTCTTTCCTCATTGGTGCCTTCTACATTTTTTAAATGCATTAGTTTAGCTACATGTCAGTAACTCGGCCATCAGTCAATGTTGGTTTTGCCAGTCTATACCATGTCTGTAAGTCGTAAAATGCAATCAATATGAGGTTCTCTCGTTTTTGTATACACAGCTCATTTGATGTTCTATTTCTTTTGTTTAAGGCTTTTGTAAAGTGTGTTGAATGACGTAGGCAACTTTAATATGTTTGCTGTGTCTTGAGAGGCTTGTTGTACCTCGAGTGAAACTAGGGATAAAGTGATTATAATTACAATCTTGGTTTCGTATGTACTGAAGTTCACTAGTAATTAACAAGTTCCTCTGCTGTGTGGTAATGAATTGTTTATCGTAGCTTCTATTATAATAAGACTTCAAATAATCTTTGTGAGATTAATGTTTTATTTTGCTTTGTGTTACTGCTACTAGATACTTCCTACTTTTTTTTCCTTTTTATTCTGTAATTTTGGCCAGTCTGTTTTTTATTCTTTCTGCCAGTCTTTCTTTTATTTTTCTTTCTGCCATGCCAATGCAACTTCCTGAGTTTTCTGAAAGTTCTATTTAAAACTATGTGTGGTATTTGGAAATATGTGGGAAATTTGATTGGGTAGTTGGACCTCTCTCCCTCTCTCTCTCACGCACACCATTAAAATGACTTCAAAGTTCAAAGGATGCTATGGCCTAGACTTTACTCGGTGATGACCCTACTCTATTCCAACTAGTTTACTGTTCTCGTGCAGGAAGCTAACAAAGGAGCTTTGTGAGGTGATTGAAAATTACGGTCTCGTCAATTTCAGCACTTTGGACATTCAGGCATGTTCAAATCTCTGACATGGTGCATTGAGTCAATAAGAGCTTTTTTTGTTCTCTAACCCCAAAGCTTTTATAGGATAAAGAGAGCGTTGGAAATCTAGTTAAAGTCATTGACAAGACCAACGGCTATATATTTGCTGGCATTGATGCAAGTGCAGTTGAATTCAGCAAAATAGCAGTTGCACCAGCCGATTGGGATTATTACAGATATCCTTAATCATGACAATAATCTCTCTTTTTATGTCATTGCATAGATTTTCAAAGTTTTGCCATCGTTCTTGCAAAATATGTCGAGTTGGATGTGGTAAGACAAAGAATGTGTGTTATATGAAAACCTAAGGGGAAACTTTTCTTGAATATAATGTATCAGTTAAAAGTGCAATTGGATTTTCCTTGACATGGTGGATTCACAGTTGCAGCTGTACAGGAAAAATACATGAAAGACGATGACATGTCTTACGACAATGACTCGGATGATAAGAGAAGTTAGATGTGATGAGTTTGCAGCCAGTCCTAATTCATGAGAATATGATTTGAAATTTGCCCTGTTATGATTACTCTTCAGTCTTCATGTTTTTGCACAGGCAGGTAACATTAAGTTCTACTTTTTGGTTGTAATTGCAAATTTCAGCTTCTTAATCTGCTCTGCTACCATAAATGTCAACTGAAGGGTTTGAGGTGATGATATATGAACCTTGGCTGCTGAATACCTTTCATTATAGAGAACTTCGTGTATATCAAATTGAACAATGTCTATTGTGAGATTTATGGCATACAAACAATGGAACTTTGACTTTATTGAAATGAACTTTGCCCATTGTGAGATATATTGCATAAAAACAAAATGACTGTAAGAAATATTAATTGTGGAGTCGTGTGGTTAGTGGGAAATGGCAAGTGGTCAACTGGTCATAGAAGAAAAGGAACTGAGATGGAAAATAAGATATTGAATAGAATATAATTTGAAGTCCTATCTTTGAAAAGACTTCTAAATACAAATGTCACATGAGGCTCTTCTTGAAATATGTTAATAAAGTTGTGCAATCCAAGGACCAAAAGAAAATGCTGTGGGGATTATGCCACAAAGTAATAATTGTAAATAAAGACATGCTTCAGGTATTCATTTATCCCTGAGGGAGAAGATATGAAGATCAATTTTATTGATCTCCATAGGGGTCATCTGTGATCATTTTGTATTGGGATAAAATATGACATGAACTTATGTTTGAGGGTGAATCCTCGTCAATAATTGGGGGAGAATGATGAAGAATAAAGATCTTAGATATTTATTTATTCCATGTTCTTTATTATTATTCACCTTTCTTATTATTATTTCTCTTCGTTAGTATTATTTAAGTTGGTAAGTATATATTTATTTAGTTTTTCTTGTGAGACAAAATAAGTTGGTTAGGAGACTTGGACTTTATATATTGTAATGTCTTATCATAGGGCCGATTGGTTTTTGATGAAATTATAAAAGGTTTGATGAATTTTTACTCTTTTACGATCACTCGTACGCTTCCCTACATTAACTGACGCCAGAGAAAACATAGATCTCAGATCCCCTTCAACATATCAAAATAATATTTTCTCTTACATGATTTGATTTCGTTACTTGTCTATCACGGCAAATTAAACCGTGCCGATAAATATTTAATTTTCAACAAATCGAGCTAATTAAGTCATATACTAGCATTTACCATAATTTAATACCTCACTGTCTTATTGTAGGGTCTGGGACCATTAATTCAAGTTAAACAAATCCATTCAAATAAGAAAGAAAATAATTTAAAAATGGCTCAGTTTTCAAACATATGGAGCTAGTGTTCATCCACTCAAATCCAGCTCCTCAACAAAGTCAAAACTTAAAAATCCATAAATCCCAAATGCCAAAATAAATAAATAAAAGTTATCCAATAAAATAGAAGAAGCTTCCATAAATCCAAATGCCAAAAATAAATAAATAAAAGCTACCCAATAAAATACAAGAAGCTTCCATAGAAATNACAAAACTTCAAATGTTCATTTGCGGTAGTGGAAGCTTCAGTCACCAAGATCATGGCAAGGACAATAGCAACAAGAATAATCGGTTTTGCAAAAGGCGCACGAGCTTTTGCAAGATAATCGGCAAGGATAATAGCAACAAGAATCGGTTTGCCGACCAAGGGCTCGACAAATTCTACGCCCTCTTATCCGACCTCGAAAGCAAGAAGCAAAAGATCTACACGCAAAAGGGTGCCGAGGACATTTCCTTTGTTCGCTTCGTCTACACTGGCGACTCGAATCGGGCCAAGCCCATCGTGGTCAAAGTCAACAAGGAGAAAAAACCCAACCGAAAATCGATTGAGCAAAAAAACACGTCGGGTATTATAAGTCAAGCCATCATCAAGTCAACAACACCGATTAGTAGTCCGAAAGAGGAAGTAAATGATAATGATCAAAAGCCGCGAAAGAAGAGGAGATGCCTTAGGTGCAAAGGGATCATGAGTTTCAAGATGGATAGCTTGATATGGCCTTGGTTCTATTTACCGGTGATTTTTTTGTTGGTTTTGGTGCTTTTGTCGATTTACGGACGGTCGTTTGCGATTCTGTGCACGTCGATCGGGTGGTACGTGGTGCCGAGCATGGTTGGTGGAGATAAAATAAATAAATTAATAAATAAATAAATAAACCCAAATTGACAATGAATATACAAGAGAAGAAGCATGGATTTGCAAAGACAACATGATGGTGGAGATTGACTACTTAATCATGCATGGTGCCTTTCTCAAGTTTTTGTCATGTGTTGTTCCATCT